TGACGATTTTAATGATGACGATGACGGCGATGGCGATGCCGATGAGGATGATGATGAGGATCATGATAATAGTGATGATGATGCTGATGATGGTGATGATGCTGCTAATTATGATGTTGATGTTGGTGACGATGATGCTTTACATGATTGCGATGGTGATGCTGCTGATAATGCTGATGATGGTTATGATGATGCTGATGATGCTGATGATGCTCGTGATCCAGATGCTGCTGCTAATGATGCTGATGCGGATGATGACGATGATGCTGATTATGCTGATGATGATGATGCTAATGATGATGATGCTGCTAATGATGATGCTGATGATGATGCTGATGACGATGATGATGTTGATGATGCTGATGATGCTGATGAAGATGATGATGATGCTGATGCTGATGATGATGATGCTTGTGCTGATGCTGATGATGATGATGTTGATGATGATCATGATGCTGCTGCCGATGATGATTATGATGCTGATGGTTGATGGTTTATGCTGATGATGATGCTAATGATGCTGATGATACTGATGATGATGCTGATGATGATGATGTTGATGATGATGATACTAATGATGGTGATGATGATGATGCTGATGATGATGATGATGAGGATGATGATGCTGATGCTGATGATGATGGTGCTGATGATGATGATGCTGCTGATGATGATGATGATGATGCTGATGATGATGATGATGATGATGATGATGATGATGATGATGATGCGGATGATGATGATGATGATGATGATGTGATGATGATGATGATGATGAGGATGAGAATGAGGATGAGGATGAGGATGGAGGATGATGATGCTGCTGATGATGATGATGCTGATGATGATGATGATGATGATGATGATGATGATGATGATGATGAGATGATGATGATGATGATGATGATGATGATGGTGATGATGATGGTGATGATGGTGATGATGATGATGATGATGATGATGATGATGATGATGATGATGATGATGATGATGATGATGCTGCTGCTGCTGCTGATGCTGATGCTGATACTGATGCTGATGCTGATGCTGCTGATGATGGTGATGCGGATGGTCGCCAACTGCTATATTCGATTTTGCGTGTGAATCTGGAAGTCTTGACGCTTCGCGTATCCCCATCAGCCAATCCAGAAACGATGCCCATGAGAGTTGACGGGGTGAGAGAGGAAGAGGCACGCATAAGCAAACAGCGAGGAAGGCTTGGGAGGCTCCGTGGGCATCTCCAGCCGTCTTGGAGCGGTCTTGGGGCCGCTTGGAGCATTTTGGGAGCCATCTTGAGCCAGCTTGGGCTATCTGAGCCATCTTGGAGATCATCTTGGGCTATGGAAGGCCGCTCGGGGGCCTCTTGGGTGCCTCTCCGGTGCATCTTGGAGCTCTCTTGGAGCCTCTTTGGGCGCTCTTGGAGCCCTCTTGGGGGCCTCGTGGGAGCCCTGGAGCCCCTCTTGGGGCCATCTTGGAGGCGGTCGGTCAAAAGAGGGGGGGTCCTCGATTTCCCTCTCCCCCTCGGGGGCCACGATCCTCGTGAGGGGTGTCAAACATTGACCCTCCCAGGGGCCGAACAAGGACCCCCTGACACATCGGTGCCCCTCCCCCAAAAAACCTCAGGGAGGGGAGGGGGAGGGTTCTCCTCCCCGAAGGACAGCAGGGTTGTGGAAGAGGAAAGAGACCATCCTTAGACCACCTGACGCCGAAAGGGCTAGTGGGACTAATGCCGATGCTGTTGTTGAACATGATACCAATATTGATGCTGACGGTGTGGCTGCTGATGATGATGTCGACGACGACGATGGTAATGATGATGCTGCTGATGATGATGATGAAGATGAAGAAGATGATGACGGTGATGATGATGCTGATGCTGATGATGACGATGATGATGCTGATGATGATGATGATGGTGGTGATGATGCTTGTGGTCGTGGTTGTGCTTCTGCTGCTGCTGATGCAGGTTATGAGGATGATGACCATATTGATGATGATGATGATGATGATGATGATGATGATGATGATGATGATGATGATGATGATGATGATGATGATGATGATGCTGATGATGATGATGATGATGATGATGATGATGATGATGATGATGATGATGATGATGATGATGATGATGATGATGATGATGATGATGATGATGATGATGATGATGATGATGATGATGATGATGATGATGATGATGATGATGATGATGATGATGATGATGATGATGATGATGATGATGCTGATGATGATGCTGATGATGATGCTGATGATGATGAGGAGAAGGACGAGGAAAGGATGAGGAGGAGGAGGAGGAGGAGGACGAGGAGGAGGAGGCGAAGGAGGACGGGAAACGAGGAGGAGGAGGAGGAGGAGGAGGAGGAGGAGGAGGAGGAGGAGGGGGAGGAGGACGATGAGGGTGATGGACGACGGCGGCGTCTCCGGCGGCGGCGACGACGAGGAGATGGGCGGCGACGACGGCGGCGTGGACGAGGGCAAGCATTGCCGCCGCCCCTGGCGATGCAGGACCCTGACGCCGGCCGGCCCGGCGCTCTTGGAGTGCCGGCTCGTGGTGCGCCGTCGCCGCGCAGACGGGGCCCTCGAGGACCGCGCGTCTCGGGGGGCAAAGCCGGGGGAGGGCAGGCTCGGTCAAACGATGCGAAGATCGGGACAAAATCGGATCGGGATAACTCGAAATCTCCGAGAATCGGCGGGTTTGGAGGATGTATTGGGCGCCGCGGCCGCTCCAGAGCGTTCCGGAACGCTCTGAGAGCGCTCCGGAACGCTCTGGAGCGATTTATCCCGACCCTAGCCCTGTTTTACTCGGGGGTGACTGCAGCCTGGGCGAGTGTTTCTCGAGCGGCGACGAAGCGTTCTGGCGTGCCTATAGGCCTACCAAGCAATGGTCTAAGAACCTGGTGTGGTTTCCACGAAATGTTCTTAGAGCATTTCTGGCCGAGACTCTATTGTTTTGACGCATCGGGCTTATGTTCTAAGAACATTGTTTTTGTACTTCGAACATAGTCGGGTTCCAAGAACATGTCGTGGTTGGCCTATAGAGATGCCGGGACGGTCGGTCCCTGCGCGAGTTTCCTGGCCGAGTTCAGTTGCTGCCTGTCTCCGCGGGGTCGCGGCCCAGGGGCCCAGCCCGCGAGGCCGCGGATACGGATGCGTCTTCCGCCCACGAGGGCGGCCACGCCGCCCAGCCCCGCGCGCGCCACCGCGCCCATCCGCGGGGCTTTGAGCGGCGCGCCCCGGCGTGAGGTGCCCTCCCTCGGCGCGCGCCTCGCGCCGAGGGGCAGGGCGGCCTTCGGCCGCGGCCTGCCGCTTCTCGCCGCCCCTCCGCCTCTCTCTCCCTCTCTCTCTGGGCGCCCCTGCCTTCAGGGGCAGCGAGGGGGGGGGGGATGGGCTCAGTGGGGGATGCGACGGCCCCCAGTTGCCCACTGATCGCCCGGTAGGGGTCTGAGAGCCCCACCCCGCCCAGGAGCGTGCGGATTTTCACTGGCGGGGGCCTGTCGCCGATCTGTCGGTGATGTGTCGCCGATTCCAGGCGGGAGGAGGAG